CTTACGAACAGATACACAGTCACATAATTATACAGACATACATACAGTCATACAGACAGACAACAAAAATCATCATCATCATTTCAGCCACAGGACGTCCACTGCTGAACATAGGCCTCCCCCAATGACTTCCACATCGCACGGTTGGTAGCGGCCTGCATCCAGCGCCTTCCCGCTACCTTTATCAGGTCGTCGGTCCACCTTGTGGGTGGACGTCCCACGCTGCGTTTTCCGGTACGTGGCCTCCATTCCAGAACCTTGCTGCCCCATCGGCCGTCATTTCTGCGTACTATGTGCCCTGCCCACTGCCACTTCAGCTTGCTGATCCGTCGGGCTATGTCAGCGACTTTAGTTCGTTTACGGATCTCCTCATTTCTGATTCGATCTCGTAATCTTTTCGTCCGAAATACCCCAGTGCCTGAAGACGAAAGTCTACAACCAATGTGTGTTACCTGTGATGACTTATGGCTCGGAAACGTGGCCCCTCACTATAGGCCTTATACAGAAGCTCAAAGTTGCACAGCGTGCTATGGAGAGGGCTATGCTCGGTGTTTCTTTACGACAACAAAAATACGAGGCCTTTATTTATTTATTGATGTACTGATATCTACCTACTTACCACGTATAATTTATTAGTTATTAAAATATTGTACAAACATAAACACCAGACACTATATTTTAAAATAAACCAAAGCAAGAAATCACTTTCGTGGCCTAAAATCACCTTCGTGTATAAAACACCACGAAGGTGATGCCACGAAAGTGACGAAAATTTTAGTTTTTTATGAATTATCCTTAAATTTGAAATTAACGGTTCAAGTTGAATACTACACAAATAAGTCTAACATGTTAAGTTTTCAATGGCAAAGTTTCAATTAAATTGTTTAAATTTTAGAGGTAGAAAATATTGTTCAAGCAAGCGACGGTATGTCTATGGATAATCACAAAAAGTTACGTATTTTTTTCGAGGAACGACGATCGACCTACCTCACCTCCCCAATGGTCGAAGCGCGACTGACGTTAACCGAATAGAACACTGTGATTGGTTGCTGATGTTCGGTTTAACGGCAATCTTGTATTATTACTCAAAATTTTAGGTACCTAAAATCGTGTGACCAACGTATTTCGCTTTCTCAATTCAAAATAATTCTAAGAAGATATTTTTTTGACTATTGTGTGGAAAGTATATTTAATTACGATGATTTNAGATGTAGCTAAATAGATATTTTATAATCTGATTTCAAAGTTATTGTTCTAACGTATACCGTTTATGAACTATTATTGTGTGACCATCAAATTTGAGTGTAAATGAGAAGTACCCATTAAATGAAATGTGAATTTGCACATCGAATTAAAACATGGCGTCATGTACCTACTAAGTTGATGAAGCGGACATGGACTTTTACAATATAATTAAGAAATTGCATTTTCCATTTTTATTAGGTACTTAAGTGTATGCATTAAAATACTATGAATAAAAGTTTTCATTTGTCGATAACTTATTATTGTTTTATAATGCGCAAACTAAAGCCTCTGATGTCTGCTAAGTTTAAATAATAAAACTTTAACAACTAACCCAAAATATTGAAATAGAATCTCAAGGTCATATCACATGGATGGATCCAGTGTAGAAAGAAATTGCCATATATCTTACTGGAAGTTATCAAACCTTATATGGATTCTGACAATGCCCTGAACCAACTCATAACGTACTTGCCGAAGCTCAGGATACTAGTGTATGACGAATATGCCATGTTTTTTCTAATACTTAATAATATTTAGTGCACTTTGATACCTAAGTATTTCGATAGACTTAAAATAGTATTAATGAGATACAATAACATTAAAAAATTGTGAGTACATACTAATTCGTAGCAACTCGTAGCAGTTCGTAGCAAGTATACTTTTAAGAAATTAATCGTACGCAGCCCATGGTTATGAAATACTGCCCAAAATCATTACCTATATCATAGGAAAATGAATCTCTTATTTTAAAATAATAACCCTTAACTCAAAATAATCAACAATGTGTGATGTTATATTTTTTATTAGTCGCTTGCTACGATAACTCGTAGCGTCTATGGATTATTTTGTAGCAGCTACGGATTATTTCGTAGCATTTTCAACCGACTTCAAAAAAAGGAGGAGGTTCTCAATTCGACCCGTAAGTTTTTTTTTTTTTTTTTTTTTNGCGCCAAACGGCGTAAACGCTCTTAAGTGAAGCAGCAAATCGAACACACAGCGTTGAATAGAGCTCTGTGATTGGTTCGTGTGTCACCCTGTGCGTCCGCGCGCACTGTGAGACCTCATAGTAATGTTTGTGAATACGAACACCGATAATTTATTATGACCGATACGACTCAGTGAAAGCGCACCGTACCTAGAGTCGATTCAGCGCTGCTACGGAAAATTTTCGACGAACTTTCTTTTACGGAGAAATTCAGGTTGTGTAATCATTTCGCTGCTTTTTGTGAGGTTTAGGTTGGTTGCAAATTGGATAGATGGCGCTAAGTTATGGTTGCATATGGTATCGTATTGAGATGAAATAATGCCCGGACGTGGCTCCTCCCCAATTTCATCCCGTCTGGGTGCAGTTTGTGCAGAAGCATACTGCATTTATTTTCAAGGCTGTTGACGGCCGTCTGGCGTAATCGTTCGCGTACCGGACATAAGCCAGGCGGTTGCGGGTTCGAATCCCGCTGGGGGCAAATGTTAGTGTGATGAGCACGAAGCATTTATACCCGGAGTCATGGATGTTTTGCTTCCGAATATCATATTTTTTATATTATTTTAATGGTCAATTTTCGCGTTTTTCAATTTTTAAAGAGATAAATTGTATAAAATATTTTACTGGTAAGCCTTACATAGACTTGAAAAAATATAAAACTAAGTGCATAATATTATTGTATACATCCATCATCCATACATCCTCACAAACTTTCATTTCAGGAACTATTGAGTCATCAAGAGTTCGATTGAATTACTTGTTTGCTGTTTTTTTTCTTATCTTATGATTTAATATTACCGTGTCACCTTACTAGCGTTCTTTTAAAAGAACGCTAGTTTTTACATAAATATTTTTACTAATGTGGGTAGTTTAAACAATTTTAATATGCAACATTTGAAAGATGAGGTGTGTCGCAGTACTGTCCAAGTCTTATAAGTACACTGACGTAAATAACTATAAAGTTTTGGAGCGATTGTTTTGAGATAAATGTATCATGACTGATTTAAGGCAAGTGATAGAAAAAGTTAATTCCGTAACAAGTGGGTTAAACACTGAAAAGGCACGCTGGAACTAATTTCAGTCACCTTACTGATTTGTTACCCCTGCATATCTACAATATTATAGCCATATATACTGTGTTATAGCTAGCTATTTACATTTTGAAGTTCTTGTGTGGTTTTAGGTGAAAATTTCATTTTTAATTTCTGAAAATATAAGTCAGCAGTGTATGCATGTTTCACATAACTTTAAGCTTTACTTTCGCGAAAAAGGTCAGGAAGGCAGAAAGAGCGTGAATGTCGCAATAAACCGTGTTTGATAAATAACTTGTCTTTGAATAATCGTGTACGTCACGCGAGCGGTATGTACACATAAATATTATATAATAGTTATTACCATAAAATTTGCAAATAAACGTACAAACAGACAAATCGCAAACCAAAGTCGTAACATAAAATATTTTAAACTCGAGACATAAATATTATGTTATTTCTCTTGGTATAGATATGATAATGTATGACATTAAAACATACATACACAAAAAATACTATGATGTCTCACAGGGCACGTAGACGCACAGGGTCCAACACGAACCAATCACAGAGCTCTATTCAACGCTGTGCGTTGGATTTGCTGCTTCACTTAAGCAAGCATCGTTTGTGAATACGGCGTTAGAGTGTTTTATAGAAATGTTGACATCACTTGCATTAGGATTAGGCATTTGTGATGAAAAGATTGGCAACATTTTCGCATGAACCGTGACTCTATCAATACCCTAGAGGCCTAGAGGTATCCAGGACAAGTCGCTTGTATGTAAATGTTGTATCAACGCCAAAACCGAATATAAGTTATCTCGTATACATACAGGGTGTCCCAGAATGGGTGAATCAAACTGATAGGGGTCTACTAATCGCACCTTCGGTAGAACAAGGGCACAATTGTCAAAAATTGCAAAAATGAGTTAAGTATGCAGAAATACTTTAAAAATGTGTAGCTAATAATTAATAGCTCTCCTGTAAAATTGCAAAAAGTGCAATTGTGCCCTTGTTCTACCGAAGGTGCGTAATGTACTATCCCTAAAAATATGAAAAAAAAAAATAAAGCGCATAAGGACACAAAAAAATATTTTTTGAAAAAGTGAAAATAAATCAGCTTTGCCTAAGTATCTGGCTATAATTGCTGCGTTTGGAGTTTATTTGTACTTTTTTCTTACTAGGTAATATTAATTGTACGTGATCGCTTCGTTTATCTGTAAACAAACTTTTGAAAATAATGACTAGATTTCGAGTTTATAGCACATTATTAAAAAAAAACCGAAATAAAAAAGTTTTTTCATATTTTTTAGGGATAGTACATTAGTAGAGCTACCTCTATCAGTTTGATTCACCCATTCTGGGACACCCTGTATACCATGTATGATGGCTCAGACACGAACACAGCTCGCGGTCACAATAAGTTACGACCTCGGGACCAGTCATATTTATATGAATCGAGTTTCGTGCTGGGTCCCCTATATTTTATCATGATATACGTTATTGTTCGACATGTGAGCATAAAAATTCGAATGCGAGCGACATTGTAGTGGTATCGTTCTATCATGGTTTAGTCGCGATATTCCGTTTGCACGCATCAACGGTATTTTGCGCATTTTTTTCGTCATGAAGAGTTTTTATGGTTTGAGTGCCACCCGCGGCGCCCGTCGAGGCGGCCTTGGGTAGTGACTATATGGCGGTTAAGTCTTAATAAAGAGCTGGATTAAGGAACACTAGTGGAAATGGATTTGACACTGTTGGGAAAAGTCATCAGCAATTTCGTGAGTTCATTCTTTTTTACGTTAAAGTGTAATTTAACGTATGTGAAAGTTCTTAAGTGTTCTAACTACCCATTACTATTAACAAGTTAGGTAGTTATTTAATTTTGTGACCGTTCATAATAATGTGCCCAATCTCATTAAATTAAAATCTTATTCTTATACGGTTTAATTATTTTGGTTTACAAAATAATCAGTGTTAATATTAAAAGCAAAATGATAATACATAATTGTATCTGCAATTCCTGTGGCTTACAGGATTCCAAACTCCAAAGGATGGAATACAAGTGAAAGTGTGATGATTAATAATAATATACTTATTCTAAAAATGTATTTACGAAGCCTGAATTAAAATATAGAGCTCTATAAAATTGTTCATAAACTTCATTATTAACTAATTAAGTGGTGACTTTTAATTTACATTTCCATTTGGTAGTCTGTCAGTTTTGAAATGTAAAAACTACAGGCAAGTTTTAATTAACTTTTAATTCGTTTCATTATTAATATTTTTTACAGACAGTAATTTTGGAACAGTAATTTAACTTTTATGTAATTTGTGAAGTTACAATATTTTGTCAACATAATACTAGAGTAATTTTTCAGCATGAAGTTAAATTTTTTATGGTTACCTACCGAGTTGATTCGCAATTGCACACTTTCGAACAGGAAGAAGAATGAGTTCATTAAATAGGTATATACAGGGTGGAAACGATAAGTGATCTCACTCGATTATTTTTAAACTATACAAGATATCCAAAAATTGGTTACTGATCCTGAAAGTGCTTAATGATCTCTATCCAACGGTATCAAAAATAGGTTACAAAATAAATGGGATCTATTCGAAAATTCAATGTTTCCAGCTTCCGTACATTTAGTAAAACCACATAATATTAAAAAGTATACAAGATATTCAAAAACTGATTACTGATCCTGAAAGTGCTTAACAAGCTCTATCCAACGGTACCAATAATAGGTTACAAAATAAATTGAATCTATCCGAAAATTCAATGTTTTCAGCCTCCATACTAAATGTATGCCAGCCGCACAATATAAAAGTGTTTACCAGTTTTTCAATATCTTGTATAGTTTAGAAATAATCGAGTGAGATCACTTATCGTTTCCATCCTGTATAAAGTATGAACGTGTATGTTTATCATAATATGCATTTTAATTATTTCCTAGGACATCCTGTATGTACATTTTAAGCCAAAACAATTAATACTAACAGTCGTATAATATTGGTGTACGGTATGGCACACTATTGAAGATTAGACTAAGTAGAACCTTCAGGGATAAAACATTTTCATATAGGTACAAGATAAGTCCGTGCTTATTACATTTTCCACTTCCATAACGCTTTCTTCTACTTTTACAAAAATAAGTTTTATAACACACACACATTAATTAAATCTTTCCAGCCAGTCCTTTTAGCGGCCCCCAAGTGCGCAATTAAAACAATAACATTATTTTACATAAACATATTGACTTGGCCATCGCATGAAAACACGTGTAAATTAAATTATTTAGTGCGATGGCCAAGTCAATAATTTATGTAAAACGTTAAAGATTTCCTGGCCTGGACTTGGTATTACATGGATCTCACAACTTTTTACCGTAGAACAACTGAGTTGCGAGACTTGGTTTTTTTGACAAGTATTGTTTTTGATGGGATGTGAGTTTATTGAATACTACCAGTAGCTTCCCGCCCGCGACTTCGCCCGCGTTCAATTTTGTCTGTGACGGAAAAACTTTATCGTGCGCGTCCCATCAAATTCTCTCAAGAAGAAGTAAAGTCCACGTGTGGTTTCATGAAACGGATATCATCAATTTATTAATTATTTGAATTATTTACCATGCACTTAAAAAGCATTAAACGCAGAATACAATGTGCAAAAGTGTGCATAAAGAAAATCAACAATGTTTGCAGCGGATCTTATTAAAAAAACCATTTTGTGTATTAATTTACGATGTACTGGTTAAATGTTGGTTTAAATGTTGCGCGCGTTTAAACAAATTGCATGTAATTCCGCCCCTGATAGTTATAAAGGCACATCTAACTTTTTTCGGATGAGTGAAACTCGAACAAATAACCATTAAATTATTTGAAAGTTTTTTATCACCGTTTTATACTTGTTGTTATTATGCGGCTTTCACTTTATTTAAAAATTGTTGTAACTAAAATGTTTTTAAATATTATATTTAAAAGTACTCACAATTTCATTTGCGAACCATCATAGCGCTCCGTGCCCTGTCGAGTAATGCACCAGAATTGTATTCACTTGGAAGCTAAATTGTGGACGACACAAATTGTAATATTTAATGCACTGAATACTTCTTAACGAGACAGTGCCTTTGATTAAAGTAGCTAAGAGCGGTTGCAAAATAATATCAGAATTCCGTACACTTCGCTATTTTTAATTTAGTTAATACTAGCCTAGAAATAGATAGCGGAACCTAGCGTTCTATGATCATTCTTCATTGTTTTTAACGTTTAAGTGTGATGTGGTGAACATTTTTATATTGAAGTTTAGAAAATTTTTTTTTTCACAACGAGGAAGCTCTTGGCCTGTATCTCACCTGATATGTGATTTGTGTAATGTGTGATGGTTATTGTTATGACTAAGTATTATATTGTTACAGTTTTCTTAATATTGAAATATCTGTTGAATAAAGTTATATAGCTCGTTATACTCGTAAGTTGTCCCTCACAAGCATAATAAAATTATTTTTGAGACGACAACTCTAGATTCTTACAAACGGGTACGCTGCATGATGTAGTTTTCATAATATCCTGAAGCTGAAAAATTTATATTGAAACCATTGGCTGCTTTTGCTTATCAAGCTTATTGGACAGAGCAATTCATTACTAAGTACGTTTTATTTTTATGGTTTATTGTTTTTAGTTTTTTCCCTGCATTGTTGAAGTCTGCAGCATTTAAGAACTATACAGGCAACTATTACGGCAACACTTATCTAGCTATTATTCTACGTTTAGTGGAACCTCTGAAGCGCAAAATTTTCTTTCCTATTGAATAATTTTAATTAGGTTTGTTCCATGGTCTAACCATACAGTATGGTTAGACCAGTATGGTTCATACTTGGAACTCTACAAAGTTTATTTCACGTTAGAGTTAGTTGTTATGATTTCGTATCTCCAATTAAAGTCAGTTCATTTCTATTATCACCCTTTTAAAAAATACAATAATATCTTATCGTCTAGCTAGGACCTACATAAATAAAATATTGGGAACTCTTCTTTGTTTTCAGTATCAGTAAAAAACATTTTATATCGCAATAAACAGCGTGGATTTTGCACCTTCAAAATTTTGGCTCTCTTGAAACCGCAAACACATGCCGTCAGCCATCTTTATCCATCAAAAGAACAATTTTCGCGATGATACAATGGCTGTGACGCACGACGTTATTTTCAGGCGACGCCTCCACCTGTTTATTAAATGGTCGATCAATTTAAATCATTGCGTGCTGCCCCCGTATTACTGACGGCGAGTGCGACGGCGTACCACCCCCTTCCCCCGAAATGACACTACTTGTCCATTTAATTTGCATTTAAAACAAGACTAACTTACACAACCATTGCCGCGCGACACAGCGCGGACGACCTGCCACAAAGCACCAAAAGTTTCCTACAAAATTTGTAGTCGCAGCAAAAAGAAGATTAAACACGCTAACTTTAAAATTTACAATCAGATCGTGGGTAGGTCTGTGGACGGTTTGAAGCACAATTAGCTCACACATTATTATGTGTGCTCGACTTAGTCGCTCATTTTTCCTTGAGAACAACGGCACGGGACACTTTAGATTTTATACGTACTTCTGAATTTTATACAAAATGTTCGTCCATGGGATTAAGCCAGGATCTAGCGAGGAAGAAGAAGAAGAAGATGTCATGGATATTCTCCAGGTTTGGCCTAAGCCCTCCGACGCAGAACTCTAATTGCATGCCCGATTGTCTAATAAGTTCGACATTTAAATGATATTTTTTCGAACTACACGAAAGCTTTCGATTGCTACCCCTTTAAACAATTAATTATTTTGTTAATATCGTGGTGCATCTTGGTGCCCTTTGTTAGTTATACTTGAGCTCATTTTAAAACCACCATGGATGAAGAAAAGCTAGCAAAATTTGTAAATATTTAATTAATATCAGTTTTTCTATTATGTAGAGGCCACATTTGATACAGTGATACACCTATATTTTTTACATAGTGACTTTGCTTAAACTGATCTGAAAAAGTGTCGATAGAGATATTTAAAAAAAAACGCTTTAAAATTATAAAAAGATCCGACCAGCTGCTGTAATTCATAACTCGCGTCCTACTTACTAAGACGATTTTTCTCATGTATCAAGGAAAAATACCAAAATTAATCAGTGCTAAATTCAGGGAGTTGAGACCAGAGATTTATGGGATATTTTTCCTTATTATGATTTGATTGCGGGCATCGCAGGACCGGTTGCTGTGGAAATCGTTGAGTCTTTGTCCAGGCCAAGTGCTGAACGAATGAAAAGATTTAAGTGCAGATAAAAAACATTACCTATCACATGAAGATAACCTGGAATTAATATTTATAGAAACGTCGGGAAGAATGCGAGCGCAAGGCGAGGAGGGGGGAGATGGACCCCCGGCTGGAGTTCACCTTCCAGCTCCTCATCGACGGCACCGGGCTCCCCAGACACGCCATCATGGACCATGTGTTCGAAGGAAATATGGTAAGTTGCTCTTAAACAAAACACAATTATTTAGAAAACAAAGCAATAATAGTCATAGTCATAAATGTTTATTGCATCATGTCGGTACACTTGGATCTTAAATAATAATACAGAGTCCCGAATCATGGCTCTGTAAGGGCATTGCAACATTATAACTAGTATTATTATACATAAAAATATTAAAATCAAAATTATCAAAATAACAATAATACAGACAATTGCTTAGGTATACATATTTATTTATTTATCTTGAGTTGAGATCAAAGAATTCTTTTAGTGTGGAGAAACATTTACTTAGTAGCCATTCTTTTATTTTTTTACAAAACAAATGATCTTTTCCAATGCTTTTTATTTCCTTAGGTATAACATCCTTCCTAAGTTATAATCTACACATACCTACTCTTTCCATCAAGTAACTCGTTATTACAAGAACTTTATTGTACAAAAGAAAACTAATAAATTCACCTTACGCCCATGTGACGATGGCGAAACGGCCACGCCACATATTTTGAATCAGGTGTAGACTGGTGTTCTGTGTTCATGTAGTTAGTTAGGATTAGGGCTTGTAGAGTTAAAAGTATGGCTCTACACAAAATGTAAGATCTTCTGAAAAAAGATTTTAAATTCTTTCACAATACGAGGCTCGATTTGGCCACATTTCCCATAAAAATGGTGTTTGGTTGGATGTTACTTACCTAATCGAAAAAAAGTATTTACCTACCCATTTACACACACGCAATTCTTAAGGACTGACTAAAAGACGTTTGGGAATTTTATAAGTACTTACAATAAAATATACCAGGTTCAACTCTATTCTCAAAGACCCCATAGATGTAAATCGCAAAAAAGTAGCATTAATCAGTCTCCTATTTTGCTTGCAATCACACATACTCCTAAAAAACCTTTTCCCTCTTGTATTTTCAAATTCAAATTCAAATTCAAATTCAAAACGTTTATTGCATGTCACATTACAATTTATATGTTGTTGCAAAATAGAGGTAGGTATACATGTGACGCCCTGCAAGGGCACAGCAAAACATCAGAGAGAGGGTTAGTATTTACCTTAAAAATAATTTTAAATAACATTTAGTTAGTCTTAAATGGTCAGTATTATACGGAAAAAAAAACGTTATTCCATTTTATTAAATTACAAAAACAATTTGAATTGAGACGTCGAAGCATTCCAATATGTCAGAAAATGATTAATAAAATTTTAGTCAAGCTTGTCATTAAAAAATTCTGGTAAGTCATAGTAGCCTTTATTTATTAAGAATGATTTTAGTGTTTTGTTGAACAGTGTTGATTTTTCTAGATTTTTAATGTTATTCGGTATATGATTGTAAATTTTTATTAGCATCGTCGGAGGGCTACATGTAACTAATTTTAATTTGGAAAAAGGTACTTTAAGTTTATTTTGGTTTCTATTGTTTCTTTTTAAACCTTCCAGTGGTGAGTATAACTCTGGGTGGCTCCTAACAAATTTACACGACTCAAATATGTATATAGACGTTAGCGTGAGTATTTGGTGTTTGATAAAGTGCGGTTTACATGATTCCAACTGGTCTATATTTGTTAATATTCTAATACACTTTTTTTGCAGTATAAATAATTTGTTTGCTTCACAAGAGTTCCCCCAAATAATTATACCATAGGAAAGTCTCGAATACGCATAGGCGTAGTATGCCGTTAGGGCCGTCCCGAAATCTGTTACCCGCTTTAAATGATAAAGTGCATAAATGAATGACGATATTTTATTCAGTAAGTATTGAATGTGCCTATTCCAGTTCAAATGTGTATCAAGATGTATGCCCAATAGCTTGGCAGAGTTTACAGTGTCTAGTTTTATATTGTTGTAGTGATATAATATCTGTAGCGCTTTTTTCTGGTAGGGTTTAAATTGTATAAGTTTGGTTTTGCTCAGGTTAAGTTGTAGGTTATGTGAATCAAGCCAACCCATAATCCTATCCAGCACCGAATTTAGCTTGATTTCCAATTCTGCGGTGTTACTACAGGGAATTAGAACTGAGATGTCATCGGCAAACAAAACACATCCTTCGTTCAATATACTAGGGAGGTTATTTATATAGATCAAGAATTTTACACATTAGTCGAAACATTTTCGAAATGTTTTTCTGTCCTACACTAATCTACTAAGTAATGACGATTTTTAATGCATAACAAGGCAGGTATTTGACCGCAATCGCTCCTGGTGTTAAGTGAGATGCAGTCTAGGATTTTATAAAGCATTCTTATTTATTAAATAGTTTAATGTTTTAGCTGGACGACATCAACCAGCTCTTCCTTCCCCACATGAGGAACAAACTGCTCTGGTACTACCAAGATGTGGAGGAGGTGGAACAGAAGTCTCAAGCCGACGGCACGAAGCCCCGACAGCAAGGTATTTGATTGAAAAAGAGTTGAATGAGACTGAGTTTTTTCCGCCACTTCTCAGCACCAGCAAATATTTTGTCCCGAAGTGGTGGTAGGGCAAGCTATATTTGGAACGTGTATACAGGGTGGAAACGATAAGTGATCTCACTCGATTATTTCTAAACTATACAAGATATCGAAAAACAGGTTACTGATCCTGAAAATGCTTCACGAGCTCTTTCAAACGGTACCAATAATAGGTTACAGAATAAACTGGAACTATCCGAAAATTAAATGTTTCCAGCTTCCATACATTTAGTACTATCACAGTCATGGCACTCATCTCTTGATAATATTAAAGCAAGTAAAGCCTAAAACGAATGTTTTCCACAAATAATTTACAAATTACGAGTTTATTTAATCGACTTTTTAAGCTTAGTATTTAACAAAAATAAATTAAACTTCTAATATTGTGTGGTTGGCATACATTTAGTAGGTATGGAAGCTGGAAACATTGAAGTTTCGTATAGTTGTAGTTTATTCTGTAACCTATTATTGGTACCTTCTGAAAGAGCTTGTGAAGCACTTTGATAATCAGTAGGTAACCAGTTTTTCGATATCTTGTATAGTTTAAAAATAATCGAGTGAGATTACTTATCGTTTCCACCCTGTATAAGTGCCCTGGAAAGGGCCTATGTACTGAATAAACTATTTCATTCATTTCATTTTAAGGGCAGGGTAAGCAGCCACCGCCTCAAGTGACTCTGAAGAAGAAACTGTTCTTGTCTGACGGCTGGGACGTGAAGTTCACTGGAGTGTGTATCTACATGTTCCGAATCAATGTCAGTAAGCAGCTGCCTGAAGAAGGGTTTCACAAAGATCTGTAAGTACCTATTTGTAACTGTTCGCAATTAAGTTAACTTCTAGTAAAATTAGAGAACTTAGGCCTGTTTTCACCATTAAGCCCTAATTTTTAAGTGACCCCTATGTAAACAAAATTCCTGTTAATTGCTACCATAGGCTTCACTTAAAAATTAGGGATTGATGGTGAAAACGGGCATAATTCTCTCAGATATGTTTATTTAAAGTTGCTTTTTTGTTGTCTGATTGTTTTGAGGAGAAAAACACCAAACATTTTTTTTCAGCGACATCATTACCCAACAATATTATTTTTTCTATGTTTAAAGTCAGTCAACTACTTGCACATAAAAAAAGTAATAATAATGATTGTAGCTTCATAATCCCAACTATAATATTATAAATGCGAAAGTAACTCTGTCTGTCTGTCTGTCTGTCTGTCTGTCTGTCTGTCTGTCTGTCTGTCTGTTACGCTTTCCCGCTTAAACCTCGCAACCGATTTTGATGAAATTTAGCATAGAGATAGTTTGAGTCCCGGGAAAGAACATAGGATAGTTTTTATCCCGGTTTTTGAAACAGGGACGCGCACGATAAAGTTTTTCTGTGACAGACAAAATTCCACGCGGGCGAAGCCGCGGGCGGAAAGCTAGTTAGATATAAATCGTAACGTAATATCACAAAAATACAATTTACATTTTGAAGCAGTACGCAGTATTTTCTGCCAAAAATCATTTTTGCTGATTGGCCACATAGAAAAAAAACTTTTTAGAATTTTTTTTTGAATAATTATCATAATCTTTATTAGGTATTTAATTATTTTGTTTTGAGAGGTTGCGTTCAGTCTCCTTGATCGCGCACCTGGCCGCAATGAAACTTTTTTTTGTTGAGCTAAATTAGATTATTCGATTGTCTTTTGTTTTCACTAGAAAATTTTTCGCGTGTTTCAAGTTTTGTAATTTTAATGCAAATATTTTATCTTTTTTAAAATTTTTGCTCGTGAATCTAAATATAACTCAAAGGACTGACTGACTGACTGACATAGTGATCTATCAACGCTCAACCCAAACCACTGGACGGATCGGGCTTAAATTTGGCATGCAGGTAGATGTTATGACGTAGGCATCCGCTAAGAAAGGATTTTACGAAACTCCACCCCTAAGGGAGTAAAACGGGATCCACCAAAGTCGCGGGCGGCTGCTAGTGTCATTTGATTAACGAAATTGAAAAGTAGGTAGGTATAATAATATTTTGTTAGTAAAATGCACTTCCTAGATCTCAATGTATTTTTGTTTCATGAATAGTTTCTGCGGGATATTGAACGCTGAGAAGGTGGGCTTGGTGACTGCGATCGAGCGGGTTATGGAACACGTGTACATGAGTGCGCTCGCGCATCCCAGCGCTGATGGGGACGAAGACGAGACCCGCTTCCCGATCGTGAAGAACCAGCTGCTGCCTGGACTGAGATCGTTCTGCAGCGCTTTAAAAGGTGAAGCCTTATTTTCATTAAAGCTGATTTACACGTGATAAATAGTTAAGTAGGTAAATACATTTTTACTTGATTTTTCTGTCAAATAAACACAATATTATACTAGTTTAAGAAGGCATTTGTATGTAGCTGTACAAAGAACTTAGTACCGGGCCCAACGCTTCATAGAAAGTGGTTGATCACCTTTAACTTAATTCCAAACGTTAAGCTCTTGTTTACTATGAAACTGCTTGTCAAAAAGTGTCAAGTGACAAGCCCGGCCCACCAACTTAACAGAAAAATCAACTATATAAACATTCAGTTACCTACCTACATATCACGTGTAAATCTGCTTTAAGACCCAGACTTGAAATAAGATAGTCGTCAAAACCCACTGTACAAAATTATGCACAAATTAATTTATTGCTGTGAGACCCAGAGACTCTTCTACCACACTGCCACAGCTTGTTTTGACAGTTTTTACCTTTTTTGGTTGGCAGCATAGATGCCATAGGCAATATTATAAACTAATCAAGATAATAATCAATTCTGTACGCGCGGTCTTAGGAGGATAGGGCTTTGCGGAATCTAACCACCGCAGTTTTAACCTTTATTCACTTATCATAAAGTCGAAAAGCGACTATTTTTAAAATCGAGACCTTTCGATTTTTTTTTTGTAATTGAAAGATTAATTATAAGGAAATTAGGATTAAGTACTTACTAAAAGGAAATTAGTTAATTTTAGGATTCAGACAGGCGCGCGAATCTGCCTAAATGGTCAAAATGTATTAAACTAGGTATACTACGAGTAAGTATAGCTATCGTACATTACCCTCATTTGCATCGCACAGTGTTGAGCATAATAAATAATCTTTTCCATATCACGCATACATACCTTTACCTACTCGTACATCTAAGTCACGGAATATCTTTTAACAGTTTGTGAAGACGTGTGCAACCAGATAAACCTATTCGATGACGGTCAAGCAATAATGGCTAGCATCCAAGACCAGAGTGAGCTGAAGGAGATGGCCAAAAACCCCACCACCATCACGATGCTGGAAGACCGCGTCACCGAATGGGTTAAGAAAGTCATGGAGGTAATTTTGATCATACATTTTTACCCTATTTATTATTATTTTATTATTATTTCCTCTTTAGAAAAGCCGCAAAAGTAAAGCTTCACTTATGAAAACAGTTCTAACTACGAGTAATACAGTTCGAACTCATCAATAATCCGTAGTCAATAAGATTCAATATGGAAAAGCAGTGAAATACATTTCCCAGTGTGGCACACTGCCAGTATTTAAACTTGACCCCGACAGAGTAACCAGTGTTATGTAAATGAGAGATCTTTGTTAAATAGTCGAGTGACTGAAACACAATTTTCACGATTATGAATTTACAGGTATTACCAGTGACTGTGTATTATAAATTGAATTATTCATAGTACGTATTATGCTAATGAGATGAGTAGCTACATAATTTATATGAATATTAGTACTATGAGTAACTCATTACTACGAGTATACTTAATATTATAAAGATATTTGTTTAATTTAACGTGATAGTCTCAGGAACTATTGGTCTGATTTGAAAAAATATTTTTGTATTATTATGGAAGGCTTTTAGGCTATAAAACAGCCTATATGGGCGGAGCAGTAGAGAAAAATGTTGCAAGAACGCGAAATATTATTAACTATTTTCACGCGTACGAAATCGCGGACACAGCTAATATAATCTAAATCAATTGTATAATACTTTCCAGATACTAAGTGAAAGTGAACAGTTGCGCCGAGAAGTGGACTCGAGTGGACCTCAAGACGAACTGGAATATTGGAAGAAAAGGGGGGCACAGTTTTCCCAGCTCGTGTCTTACTTACAGGTAAAATCAACATGTTGAGATAAGTGTTCGTTTCAGTGACGTCCACTGCTGGACAAAGGCCTCCCCCAAGGATTTCCACAAAGACCGGTCCTGCGCCGCTCGCATCCAGTCACCTCCCGCGGCCTTCACCAGATCGTCGGTCCACCTAGTGGGAGGCCTGCCCACGCTACGTCTTCCGGCTCGTGGTCGCCACTTAAGAACCTTCCTGCCCCAGCGGCCATCAGCTCTTCGAGCTAGGAAAGTTCTTGAGTGGCGAGATAAGTGTAACTAGTACAAATAAATTTCAATGAGAGTCCGGCTTCGATAGAGTAAAAAATTAAGGACTATTTTGATGAATTTCCCTTTATAGAGTTGTGCATGTGCATTGCAACAAACAAAAAATTTCATTAGTTCGAGTCATAAATTTTTTTTAGGTTTTTAGTTTTTATTTTGCACTTAGAATGATTTTGTTCAAAAATATTGATAAAAGAAACAAAAGCGTTGGTAATATGTTGGTGCTAGTGGGGCGTGTGAAGGATTTGAACCTCCAACCGCGGACGGAGTCCGCCGCTCTAACCGGTTGAGCTAACACGCCTTATTTCAATGGACAAAATTTGCGATCCCTATCCCGAATATGACGTCATCGCGACGCAGTGCGCAGACTCGCGGAGGGGACAGTCCAGACAGTCTCGTTAAGTGATTGATGTCTGGATTGATTTACTATGAACTGTATGCCTACCGCATTCGGATCTTATTTGCTTGATCGCAATTGTCAACAGTTAATAGGGAGCCAATTTGTAGCGGGATTGAATTGAAAATGAGTAAATTACAAAAAAGCGGTGCTGTTTGGAAAATGAAATGATTATTTCGTTATAAACTAAAATAAAGGGCACTTAATCTAAACTTATTTAATAAGGTTTTGCTTTAGTACAGTCAGGCCTGGCTCACTCCGCGCGGTACATCCGATAATTACCTACAGCGAAGCGCCCCGCCGGCGGGTATTATATCAGTCGAGTGTCACGCACGCGCCCGTCAGGTCGCTGGCGTGCGTTGTGGCACCTAATTCTATGATCGAAGTATTATTTAAAAAGGGACATAAAGAGAAAGAAATATGATTGAGCGGCGTTCGGGTGTTTAAATTCGAAAAGAAATCTACCGGATTTATCTTTTTTTTCGCTTCCCAAAGATGCTAGGTAATCAATAATTCTTAGGATAGTATAGGAACCTAACCTATCATGACTACTGCTCAGAATGCGTTCGTTCGTTTCAGCCAATTAATGACGTCCACTGCTGGACAAAGGCCTCGCCCAAGGTTTTCCATAATGAATGCGTACTTACCTACATACGTACCTCATTACAAATAAGTAGATTAATTATTTTTTTTACTTGACACTACTAGAACTAGCAGCAACCCTAACAGCGTAAGAAGAGTTCAGAGGCACGCGATAGAAAGAGACAAAACTTGTAGGTGAATAAAATTGTAGGTACGTAGTGCTGTGCGAGCTGAATTCCACTGTATCGCGTCGTAGCAAGACTCGCATTTATTTAAATCATCTTGCGGAGTAATCCTTCTGTACAGTCCTCTCAACTTAAGCTGAGAATTGCATTTGTGTGAGTGCACACCGATAGTTTAGAGTGGCAATCGGCTTGAAGCGCGGCGCGTCCCGCGCATGGTTTATTATAGCAAGCGGCCTGAAGCGCGGCGCGTCCGCCACGCACCGCTTCCATGTCGCTCACATACTTCACTTCACCCCCGGTACTGATAGCAGATACGTGTAATTTTATGTAATTGTGTTCCAAATATTAGTGAAATGGCTCCTACTGTAAGTGAATTTCCTGTACGAAATCCATTAAGCAGCCAAGTGAAAGAAATTTTATGCAAATTGAATACGTATTTTAAACGTGTGAACGAAAAGTTTTTAGTCTGTTTTTATTTTGTAATTTTATAAAGTTTGTCTTTTTGTTGTATTTTGTAAGGCTGGCTGGACGCCCTCTCTATAAACGGTGCTCGCAGAATATCAGCGTCGAGGTACTTCGTGCCTTGGCATATGCTGAGCGAGGACCTGTTTTTATTTATTTATTTATTTAAAAGGATGTGTGAAGTGTCGTTACATCGGCCCAATTGGTAGCAAGTGTTTTAGACTTTCTTTTAATAAAACATTAATTTTTTTTGTATGTGTTTTACTAACGGTACTTTTGGCGATCACTCACACAAATGCAATTCTCAGCTTAAGTTGATAGGACTGTACCTGTACTATTACTTATTCTGTGGTACAGTTCCTAGTCTAGTTACTTTTTATTGGATTTGGAATACCTACATCGCTCTACTAACCTCACACTTGATTCCGCTAAAGATAGATCAGCTTTTTATGCAATGCACACTGACACAGATAGCGGTACTACATTCCACGCGGTAGGTATTGAAAGCCCAATATTGTGGTGCACGCATAAAAATGATATTAGTCAGCGTCAAAAAATTCGTAACACCTAAAATGACCAAAAAATAGTTAAAACAAAAGACGTGTTGCGGACTTATTGGCTACTTTGGGTGTCACGAACTACAATTTGACGCTAACTGTACAACATGTTCTAACAGGACAATGAAGTGCAATTGACGCTGACGGCCCTACAGCTGGCCAATTCCAAAGTGATTCGCCTGTGGCGCGACACCGACCACAAAATAACTTTCTGCTACAACGAGGCGAAAGACAATGCCAAGTTCATCCAGGCCATGGAGAAATGCTGCCATTCCCTTTACTTGGATGACCCAGTCAAGATCAAAGATTCCATCTTGAGCCTGCTGCAGACCGTAAGGTTGATTCACAGTGTGTCACAGTTTTATAATACATCAGAGAGGATTTCTTCGCTCATGGTCAAGGTATTTATCATTTGACCGTTACTATCCATGCGTAAAGCTTAAAGTAAAATATATACCCTATTTGTTTTCCAGATTACAAACCAAATGATTGAGACTTGCAAACAGTACATCACTTGCCGTTTCAAAGAAACCATCTGGTCTCAAGAGCGATCTCTGGTCAGAGAAAAGCTCATCCACTGCATCAACCTCAACAAGACATACCGAGAAACATATCTCTTCGTTAAAAACCAACCATTTTTACCCAACACAGAGCAGTTCAGCTTCTCCGAAAACTATGTGTTCGGGAAATTCGATACATTTTGTAAGCGATTGAATAAAGTCATCACCATGTTCGATCTCATGGATGATTATAACCATCTATTTGCGAAAAGGATGGAGGGACTTCTTCTTGGTGAAGGTGGGTATTCTGATTAAATATACAGAAGTACAAGGTATGATTTATCTTGAAGCCTTCCCTGTAAGCAGTTTGATAAAATTGGGAGATATAGCTTTATTGGACGTCTTTTTATTTGAAAAATATTAACAAACGAATGAAATCGCTATGTATGTATCTACATAGTCATAGTCATTTATTCCATAAACAATAACATAATCGTATCAGTTTACTATTTAACTTCTACGTAACTTGAACATTGATAAATAAAAAGCTTTATTATTAGTACTATTTAACTTTAAGGTTCTATTTTAACTCTGTCATAGACTTGGAAGAAGCAGTGCACACATTCGAAGAAGCTAAGAAGGTGGTGACAACATGCCAGTACGACTACCTGGACTATCGTAACAACGAGTTCGACAAGGACTACCAAGTGTTTGAGGGGAAGACCAACACCCTGCGAGAGTCCATTGGGAATACAATAGAGCTGAACTTCTCTAGCGTATGGGAGACGCCGCAAGGGATCAAGTTCCTGACAAGGTTTGAGAAAGTAAGTATGAATAAGTCCCGAATGCATTGCATTCTGGAACATAGAAATAATAATTATGGCATTTATGTCGTAGCCAAAGATAATAGGTATTTGAACTAGATAGATTTTTTGAAATTGATTGAGTTTATCCTGTACCTCTTATACCTGCAGGTTAGTCAAAAGATTCAAATAACAAAACTGAGCGAAAAGTATGACCGTGTACTGAAATACTGCGAAAAAGAGGTGGACAAGATCACTAAGATGTTCAAAAGGCAGAGAGAGGACCCTCCACTGCCGAGGAACTACTCACCTGTCGCAGGTAATGTGATGTACTATCATGATACATAATATTATAATTAAATCGTTGTTTCAGTTAGATTTTTCAGTGGTTCTAGCTCATATCCTCGATCTCGATTCAGCTGTTGGTTTTTAAACCTTATCTAAACCCAACTTATCTGCTAGGTCGCATCAAATGGTCGCGCTGCCTCATGTTCAACATGCGGGAGACTGTGGAAAGCGTGTGCGCACATCCCGTGTTACGTGCCCTGCCCGCTGCTGCTGACGTCACGCGCAAGTATACCAACACTCGCTCCCTGGTGTCCACTTACGAGGAAACCATGAGGGCCGTGTGGATGAATCAGAACGTGAGTACAGATGATCAGGAAACCAGAAAATCTATAAAATGAAGGTATGAGCCATACTGAACTTAGCAATGTAAACTGTTTCCAGTACGAATGATGGTGAATATTCATTATTTGCAAAATTAAAATTACTTACTTTTTTCTGTCCCTAACTGAAAGAAATCTATCTATTCATGTTCTTTTGAATATATCAACTTTCAGTTCTTCGTAAGCTTATACGAGACTAATCCTCACTCACAAACTATGGATGAAAGTCTGATATAAATTATTTATTATTATTATTACTACAGCTATGGGATGTGGACGACAGTCTAAACAACACATTACTTCGCATCGACGAGTCTGGCCGCATCTGCGTGAACCTGGATCACACCATCCGCCTGCTGATTCGGGAGTCCGACTGCCTCGTCAAGATGGGCATAGATCTGCCTATAGTCTGTCACTCGCTGTACGCTAAGAAGAACTATTTTACGCTGGTCAATGACTCTTTACAGGTATGTCATAATGTAGCCAAATCTTATTAAGGCATAGCATATTATTATAACTGAGTAGGTTGTAGGTAGTAGAAGAGCAGTGCAGGAGGTCGTGGTTTTTATGGTTTTTCATTCAAGCGCCATATCGAGACTTTAGGTAAGCTGCTATCTGAAGCGTCAAGCTGGAAGTGCGTCCTCTATTCCTGTCACAAGTGGTCCGCCTTTTGTCTTTACTCTTGCTCCGTGTACGCCTCGTCACCTAGATCAGCGGGGACTGGAAGGAGTTCATCGACTGCACCTTTTAATGATGTATCTAATCTTGAACCTTCTAGTTCCTCCTCGAAGGCTACATCACCACCGTCAGGTTCGTCAAGCTGGAAGTGCGTCCTCTTTTCCTGCCACAAGTGGTCCGCCTTTTGTCTTTTACTCTTGCTCCGTGTCCGCCTCGTCACCTAGATCAGCGGGGACTGGAAGGAGTTCATCGACTGCACCTTTTAATGATGTATCTAATCTTGAACCTTCTAGTTCCTCCTCGAAGACTACATCACCACCGTCAGGCGCGTCAAGCTGGAAGTGCGTCCTCTCTTCCTTCCACAAGTGGTTCGCCTTTCGTCTTTACTCCTGCCCGGTCTCCGCCACGTCACCTGGACAAGCGGGGACTGGAAGGAGTTCATCGACTGCGCCGACGCCGCCATCAAGTGCTTCGATGTCCTGGTCACGAGGGTCCACGACATCTACACTAATAGGATCATCTACGTCCTTTCAGGGATGCAAGATGTTTCTTTGATTACATTGCCTGGTATGTTACTAATACTATGTAGTTAGTTACTACTGACAAAAGGACACGTTGTTTATCACGGTCACATCTCATAGTAACAAGTTAATAATAATTTACTGCTAGCTAGCATAAAGACCTTGAATTATTAGGACCACCCCTTAATGGATTTGAGTTAATTACGAGTAGGTATATCAGCGGTCGTGGTACGGTGTACTGACCGTGGCTTGTGTTTTTTACACTCATAATTTATAAGGTATCCACAATAATAATTAAATAACAAAATAAATCAATTGTCAACAGAGGAAACTCCATGGTCTGTCGAAGAGTTCATAGAAAATGTGGAAACTGGATGCCGGTATGAATCTTTCACTTATAGAAATTGTTGTAAAGTATACAACGAGCCTTTAACCTTTANTAATTAACACTGAAAAATGACTATGTTTTTTAAATTTGCCAAAAAATAATTAAATAATGATTAAAAATTGATTACATTTACTACTAGATCCTTTATTAATAGTTATTTGATATATATCAACTCTTTGATAAATTCAAGTTGGTTCAGATATGAAATTATGAAGAATTTTAGATAGGGGTCTGTGAGACCCGACGTCCATGGGAGTGTGATTATTTTTTCACGACTATAGTTAAAGGTTAAGTGTACTGATGATTTTTTTCAAGCAATGCATGTGTGGAGTTCAACCGCAAGAGTCTGATGGTGGAAGAAGCCGTGGAAGAGGTGTTGGACCTGGTGAAGAAGGCAGCTCAGCAGATCAGACCGACTGAGATCAACCCTGACTTTGAGTTCCTGATTGCTGATGGTAAGCATTCCCTTGACCCTTTACGCGTACAGCAGGTCAAGATGACAAAACAAATGACGTCACGAGTTGGGCTTGTTACGTCGTTGTTATCGCCCTTGTTTTATGCTAAAAATGATGACTTTAGTACCTAATTAAATAAGATTTTGAACTTTCACAGCCGAAACTAATACCTACTATAATAAAATTTCCGTTTGAGACCTGTTGCGCGCTGTTTTCAATGTTTAATTACCGTATTTATTTTATTTCGGAAGTGTAGTACATACTAACATTGGCACAATCTGTGTGTCTGGTATTGCGCCATCTGTTGTAGCTGCAATGTTTCATATTCCCACAGGACTACGCGTCTTTCGCACTCATTTCCCCTCTGCATGACAAAGTACTCATAGTTCCCGTCCCGACCGTGCTGCCACATTTCACAATCATGTGTCCACTATTTATTTTATGACTAACCCTCTAGTATGTTATAAACAAATAACATAATATCTATAAATTTTTAGTAAATTGATACGGTTAATATTTATGACCAAATCATAAAAAAGCCAGGGTACCACAGTCCATAAGCCAGCAATTGAGCAATTCGGATTTTTCATAAGTTCACTTGGCATTAGAAAAATTAATAAAAATGCTAAAAGAATAAAAAAAAAAGATTAATGGGGAATACTGGGTAATTTAAGTATTTCACTTAAAATATTAGGTATTTTTTTATGTATAGCAATATTCAGTTTTTTTATTTATTTTCCCGAGAAAAGAGCAGAACTCGGTTGTTTCACAGTGCCTCTTTTATCGAGTCCATACAAACCAACCATTTAACAATGGCTGGTCATTTTTCAGCAATTTTCCCCAACCACTGGTATCCAACCTGTTGCAACAACTGCTATTGGTTGGCCTGTAACGAAAATGTTTTTCAAGCCCAACTTTATGCGTAGCTTACGCAAGCCATTAGTTGAGAACCCCTGGTTTTGAGGAGTCCCCCCATCATTTGCAGCTTTGACTCCGCCCAGTCTCACTATCTCTGCAATTCCATTGGATAATAAGAAGTGGAGCTTTCAAACCCAACGGATGTGACTTGATTTATTACTCTATAATCAGGCCATGCTCTCAGACCTGACATGAGATGGCGCATTACTGCTATTCATTTCCTAAATAAATAAGTTTTGTATGTATGTTGTGAAACGTTTTAGGGTCTTGCCACATTGACGGATTGCAAGCGTTTTCTGGACGGAGCAGCGGCGCGGCTCGGTCTGATACTGACTGACCTAACGCACACAGCACCACGCAGTCTATTAGCAAGAGATATGCATTTTTTGTGAAGTAATGTTAAAGAGTAGCTGAGAGACTGGTTTGATTGATTCAATCTCAATAACATTCAAAATACACGTAAAAGGGGTGTAAGTTCAAATTATTTACCCGACAGGAGACAAATGTTTATAAGACTTGTTTAGAGCCCTTGATTTAATCCATTCATGATATACAGGTGCTAACAGAGACTTTATTATTACTAAAGGAACCCCATAATAAAGTTATTTGTATTACTGACCATTGCGTTTATTGTCGGGGCAGCTGGTACAAACTGTTATTTTTCAAGGTTACAATCGGAATGAAAAAGTGTGTGTCTTCGTTAACCCTTTCCCTTTGAGATCATCAGAACTCAGGTGAAATTGAATACAAATAAAACGGAATTTCGGAAGACTTTTTGTAAGCCGTTAGCTAACCCGTTATTAGTATCTAGGATAGATTATTTTTACCCGACTACGGCAAAGCAAAAGGAGGGTTATGATTTTGACAGGCTATGTATGTATGTATGTTCATCTGTTCCCTCGTAACTTCTAAAATACTTATCAGAATTCGACAAATGACATACAGGGTGGAAACGATAAGTGATCTCATTCAATTATTTCTAAACTATACAAGATATCGAAAAACTGGTTACTGACCCTGAAAGTGCTTCACGAGCTCTATCCAACGGTACCAATAATAGGTTACAGAATTAACTGGATCTATCCGAAAATTAAATGTTGTAAGCTTTCATACTAAATGTATGCTAGCCAAACAATACTAGAAGTATTAATTTTTTTTTATTAAATAATAAACACTTCAAATGAACTCGTAAATTGCATTCTTATTAAATATTCTTATAAAATTATTCTTGGAAAACATTGGTTTTAGCCTTTAATTGCTATAATATTATCAAGACATGAGTGCCGTGACTGTGGCTGTACTAAATGTATGGAAGCTGGAAACATTGAATTTTCGGATGGATGCAGTTTATTTTGTATAGGTTATCGGTACCGTTGGATAGAGCACGTGAAGCACTTTCAGGATCAGTAACCAGTTTTTTAATAACTTGTATAGTTTTTAATATTATGTGGTTTTACTAAATGTTTGGAAGCTAGAAACATTGAATTTTCGGATAGATCCAGTTTACTCTGTAACTTATTATTGGTACCGTTTGAAAGAGCTTGTGAAGCACTTTCAGAATCAGTAATCAGTTTTTCGATATCTTGTATAGTTTAGAAATAATCGAGTGAGATCACTTAAAGTTTCCACCCTGTATAATTAATTCCTATAGATGTATTGAGATATAATGTAGGTACTACGCTAGTATTACATACTAGCGGCCGCCCGCGACGCGTGAATCCCGTTTTACCCCGTTAGGGGAGGAGTTTCGTAAAATCCTAACATCATAACATCTACCTACATGCCAAATTTCAGCCCGATTCGTCCAGTGGTTTTGCGCTGTGCTGTGCATTGATATATTTTTTTCATCCACAATAAGAATGCTCTTGACCTGCATCTCAACTGATGGAAAGTGATCAGACCGATTTGATGTGCGATTTGAAAATGAGGATAAGAAAGAACATATTGCATTAAACAAGAAGTCGCTGTGCAAGTGATTTAAATTGATAATGTAAAATTTCCGCGTACCGATCGCGTGGAGTATTCATATTGTGTTAACAAGAAAAAAACAACATATAAAATGTTCTTTTTAAGCCGAGAAAAAACGTTGATGTGTTGGTAGGCAGTACCTACTTAAGTTAGGTATTTGTTTATCTATTTATGCTTCGTGCCATTTGCACTTACAGCCAGAAGTCAATAATGACATTAATTTCATTTTAATATAATATTCCCTAATGTTTCAGTAATGATGTAAGGCAATTTACTGTTATCTCACCTAAATATCTCACGCGGACTTTTTGAGACAAAAATACGAGTAAATTGTTCATTGGTATTCCTATTTTTTTTTAAATATACCTAACTGCTGAACATCTTTTACTTCCTTTCCCCCATAAGAAGTCCCAGTCACCATTATTAACAAGCGATATTTTTCTGCAGACGATCCTCAAGCAGGAAGTGGCCCAGCGTCCACTGCTAATGAGTCGACCTCCAGCGGACAGCAGGACTGGTCAGCAGTTTGGGAGTGCTTCGAGAACCCGCACAAATTGCTGTCCACGCCTGCTGGTGGGCTGTCCAAAAGCATGCAGGTATGTTTAGTGAGTCAGATGATGCGCCAAAGAAATTTTGTTTTAACGTGCTTGTAGTATTTTGTATAGTTAGGGTAGTTTCGCCCGTTTGCGGTCATTGTGTAGTTTCGTATTCGGAGGGATTTTTTCCAAAAGCAAACAAAAAACCAACTAAATTACCATTTGTAGGCTTTATCTAAGAAAACGGTATCGTTTAATGAAAAAACTTTATCAGATTGTGATGATTCCTGTTTTTGGCCGTCTAATTCAGTTTACGGCCGTCTAATTCAGTTTACGGCCGCGTGCAATGTTAGTTTACGGCCACTATTTTTAATTACTTTTATTTCTATTCTTTAAATAAAAATCAATAAGTTTTACTAAGTTATTTATTTATTTTTGGTCTTTGAATGAACAAGTAAAAGGCGTGTTAAAAACGAAGCTCACGTCGAATGCGTCTATATTGCATCCTTATGTCGGCTGATGGGGACTGGAATGATGATAATGATGATGATTCAGGAAATGGTGAAAAACGCCGTGAGCGAAATGCGGAGGTACTACAGCAGGAAAGTGGTGGATGTTCTGATCAAGGTCACCCGGAGGACACTTGACCTCATCATCAAAAGGTTCTGCTCTGACCCAGCCATCACCGAAGGTCAGTAACATTTAATTACGCTTTTTGTTAATTTTTCCGAAGACTGGAAAGCAAGGTCGTGAATTGGGTAACTTATGTTTGAAACTTACATTTCCATTGTAACTAAATACTGTGCAAATTCTTCACTCGCAGACAGTTTGGGTATCGATGATGGCCAAATTATATTTTCTTCAATAATTAATAAGTTTGTATTAAAAAAATATATCTACCTATATCGATTTACAACTGGTACCTATTGCGCCATTTCTTTATACTTATCCTTATACTTACCATTTTTTTATTTAAGCAACTGTTATTGTTTTTATATTTCCATTTGCCCCCTTCAAACTTTGCCACGGGGCACCACCCCGGCCGTAAATAGGTGGCGTTAACCACCCCGGTCATAACAAAGCCAGAGGGGTGGCTGCTGCGTGATTTCTCTAGAGCCAAAGAACTTTCTCAGTTTCATGCGAGCCTGGTACTTTGTAGGCGTTACCCACTTGCTCCCTACAAACTGTACATGCGCCTTTGCGTCCAAACCACGTGGAAGCCACGTGTTGTGCAACAAGAAAATCTAGATCACAAATGCAAATACGTACACCTTCTTTTTTAACGTCAAAGCGTTCTTGGTTTTCTGTGACCCTGACTAGTACTTCAAAACATTTTTTCACGCAAACAAAAATTATTTCCAATTGTTTGATTGAGTCCTCAAGCCACGCGTTTACTACGAATGTTTTCATCGCTGTCGTAGTCATGGAGACAATAATGCCTCTCAACATTGTTTGTTAACTGGAAAATTCACTGTTACTGCAATGACCATAAGGTCTCTAATCAAATCAGCAACAGAATTAAAAGTAACACGCATGCGCATCACAAGCTTGTGTGTGTGCACTTGTACAGGTGTGTCCGAGTGAGATGGAAGCCTATATCGATTTCGCTCAGAATTTTGTTCTTAATTTACTCCACAGGCTTATGATGCTCTGGTACTACCCCTTTCTCGCTTAGCCCTGAATAGCCCTCGCAGTCCGCCGCACATGCGCCCTAGATTTTGCCCTCAGGGTCGGAGGGGTGAAATTAGTTAAGTGTGATAGGACTCTCAGTCTTACTCACTGAAAAATAAAGTTTAAAATCACAGTATACATCATTACCAAGCAGAATACTCGGAATCAACCTCTTACTAAACTTGTGCTCCTGGTATTATTGCGGGTATCAAGCGGATAAATATGTCCCGCAGCCCTGTGCAGCCTGAAATTTCGACCCCTATGATATTTTCTCTAGTAAACAAACATAGGGAGAAACACGATTTTTAATTCAAATATTCACAATCATTTTATTATTATTAACAAACTAAGAATTATTTAACAGGTAAGAATTATTTATTCATCTGAAAAATATAAGTTGATGCTTTAGCATTTTATACAAAACTTGTAAATAAACAAGTGGTAAAAAATCGATCGATTTAATTTTATAATAATTAAGTATAGCCTCGCACTTTTGGTAATAAAATATTTCTTTTGTTTAAATAAAATGAAGTGTTTAGCTTAATTTAATCTTCACGATCTTAATTAATTTTGTTATTGAATAAGGGTATGAATTATTAAGAGCATTATCTCAAACACTAACTACAAGTACTACAAGGTTGCGATAAGTTAAACAAAATAATATCACACACAATGTAAGCATATTTTTTTTACCCGCACCCGTACACTAATGTAATGGGCCAAACTTTTCCCACAACTACAGCTTCAACTTACAAAAGCGTCACCTTGTATATTTTCAGTGAAAATGTTCACCACCTTTACTTTTCAGCGCCTCTGTCGTGCCTCTGTCGGCGGAAAATTGTATTCTAGCTTTTCTTTTACTGCGGACGCAAAACTACCTCTTAAGAAATCATGTTTTCCTGGTACTGGTGCGGCTAGTTGCGGAAGAAACGTGCCGGCTTGCGGATAAAATGTCTCGCTGCGACCTAAAAATCTATTCTATGAATGGATCATTTCAATAAATAAATTATTCTGAAATAATCAAAATAACGCAAAAATATTTGTGCATTGTTTCTGCATCGTTTATTAACTGTAAGAGTTATCAATTAATCAAAGAATCCTCCTATAAACTTTTAATAACTATACAGCTATATTATTATTAATTTAATTAAATTACATTATAGGTATTTTGTAATTTAGCAAATTATTTGACTTCAATAACTCATTTGGTAAAAGTAAAAAAAAACATTTTCTACATCATTGTATTTTCCGAAACGTTCCACAATCCACAATACATTTTCCTGCAGAGAGGATGTTGAATACCACTTCGTAAATCATGCTTGCCTGGTACGGTTGCGGGTCGCGTGCGGACGAATGTGGGAATGCGGCGAATTTGTGCGGATAAATTCATTCTCCTCCTCAACTTTCCATGTCAATGTTCGAATAAATATCTGGGGGCACGGCAGTGCCCCCACCAAGTCGAGCACGGCCGTACCATCCTTTTCTCGAAGCAATTCAGGCCATTTTCGACCGCCTGTAACTTCGTTGTGGATAAAACTAGAAGGCTGAATTTTCATTAGCTATGCAGGCATTGTAAAGACACGGTATACCTATTTAAAATTTCATTCAATTTGAACCAGTAGTTCAAGAATTATAACGGGTCAAAGTTACTTAATTTTGTCACTCACTGACTTGCGATGGCCAAGTCAATATATTTATGTAAAACGTTAAAGATTTCCTGGCCTGGACTTGGTATTACATGGATCTCACAACTTTTTACCGTAGAACAACTGAGTTGCGAGACTTGGTTTTTTTGACAAGTATTGTTTTTGATGGGATGGGTTTATCTCTAACATAGGGATTTTTTTTGTTTACAATTCGTAATTTTATACTTTTTTTCTTTTTGGTGATTAATATAAAATCTGAAATTATTGTTTCTCGTTATCATTTGGTTAGCTAAAAACAAAAGTTTTAGTTAATATTGAGTTTGGCTACTGTGTGCGGCTGCATCTTATTTAATTTTTACCTCCATTGGAAAAATTATTCCGTAACGAGTGTTGAATATTAAATTTTATCTAAATAAATTAAAAATATGCAATGAAAGACACTTTTATCTTGCCTACCAATTATTGACAGTTAGAAATGTGATACCAGATAATATCAAGTTTTAAATAATTCAATTTTAATTGTCGCCTACTGGTTCCTACAACAAAAATAGTAACATTTTATCTCACGTAAGTTTTGTAAGAATCATTATTATAATTTATAATACAAGCGAAAGGATACTGAATCAACCTCTTCGTATATCATGTTTGCCTGGTAGTTTAGCGGGTCTCGTAGTTTCAGACCTCGTAGTTCCAGTCACGCGGCTAGTCGTAGTAGTTTCTGCTACGAAAAATTGCGCATGCAAAAAGTATTATTATTATTTAATTAGACTTTTTTTTATAAAAATGCCTAAATGTTTCGCGTAATTTGGATTAAATCTATTTAGAGTTTGTTTGGAGGGAATAGGCTAAGAAACTACTTGACTGATTTGAAAAATTATTTCCCCATTAAAATTTGAATAATTTTCTGTGTAACATAGGCTATAAAATATTTTAATATAGTTAGTAATAATACTTCTGTTTAATATTTTAAACTATTATGTTGCATTTTTTCTATAAAATTATCGCTTCATTTATTTACCGTTAAAATAGATATTGTTGCAATAAATCCCGTGAAGTGATAAGACTTCTG